AGTATTAGCCTTCTTTTCTTTTTCTACTAATGTTTGTCTTTGAGAGTAGCTAGAGCTTCAGCTCTCTTAGGAGATTCTTCTTGTGGAGACCCTACACCAAGAGATATAAATGTAAAAGAAACAAACAAAAGAGTCTAAAAGAAAAGAAACCTGAAAATACATACCTTTTTTCGAAGCAGCTCTGGTAACTCTAGCAGGAGGGGGTGAGGCTGCAGGAACAGTTTTGGCAGCTATGGAAAAAGAGGGAATGTTCTCGACTGCTGTTGGTTTAGCCTTAGAAGGCACACCTAGTCCTATCAGTAAATCATGAGGATGTATAGCTAGATGCACTTCCATATTGGCTGTCCACCAATTTTGAAATCTCTTTAAAGCTAAACCAGAGGGGATGAAGGGTGTAAATTTGAACTCACTCAAGTCTTTCAACAACTTAAATGTTGCCTCCTCTAGTATGGATTTGGGTACTCTTAGATCTCTGGCTGTGAGATGGACATTCGAGAGACTGCAGAGTGGAATGGGAATTCCTTGAGTAAGCCCAAATTGTCTGGCAAACTGAGAAGGGCAATATACCTCAGACATGCACTTGTAGGCTCGAGGGTTTAAAGTACCAATGAACAGTTCCCTCAGCAACAAAATGGAAGCCCACATATCGTTGTGTGATAGGATGGGAACACTCTTTATCAGCCAAGAATGTTTGCAGCCAAGTTGGTCCTTTGTTGGCATCAAAGAGGCAAAAGAAGGTGGTAGCTGGGGAAATAGGAAGTTGATGAAAATATGTGAGGTAGTAGGCAAAGGAAGCAGGATAAAGAGCAACTCTAGCATACTTTTCTCCGTAAGTACTAAGGTCTTGAACTAAAAACTTCAAGGACTTAGGATGCAGGTCAGTAAAGTATGCAAAGAGCCAGAGTTGAAGCACCCAGAGAGGGCCTCCATGATTGATGTCGAGAGGTCTTTCACAAAATTGGGAGCAGGCTCTATAGACATGGCCTAAAAGGTAAGGGGCCAAGGCTATTCGTTTCTTCAAAACAAGGGCCTTTGCAAGTGGGGCGAACTCAAGCATGATCCGCTGAGATGATGTACAAAAGAGAAATTTGCACAACCAGTATAAAATAAAGGAAAAGAGTTCTCGATCTCTCACGGGTCCTTCCCTTTTATTTTCAGCCTTTACAAAATCACTGAAGGAGGAATTTAAGGGTGGAAGGGAAAACTTAACAGAAAGGTATGGGTAGCTGGTTGTAAAAGGAGTACCAAGTGGTGAAAGTCCTAAGAGATGGCAGAGATCAAGAATGGTGGGGGCCATCATGCCACACCGAAACTGAAAAAAAATTAAAAGCCATGTTCCAAAAGCAAAGAGCGACATGAATCAAAAAAGGGTTTTCAGGAATGATAAACCTGGAAAGACGAAAGGGTGTTGAGAATACAGAGCTTTTGTAGGTCACATTCTCTTGCAGGCACAACTCTGTCATACCATTCCTCCCACTCAGCCCTCAATGTCAGCCAGCAATGATGAGGGAGGTTCATTCTCCAATTTCTCCAGTCAAGCTCTCCTTCATAGAGAAGAAAAGGGTCCTCTAAGCAAGGGTACAAAGCTGGAAGCTGGGCGGGAGCCTCTCGAAAGATAGGACCTAGGACATATTCTTGTTTGTCGCTATGGCGAGGAACAAAAAGACGTCCGTCTATAGTACTTGATCCATCAGCTTTAAATTTGGCAATCTCTTCCTCAATATATCTCTTCAAAGCCATTGTTGGGCTTATACGATCACCAGTTGGTACTTTCAGAGAAGAAGAATCCATTGGTGGCAAGCAGCAAGGAAGAGAGGGTTAATAGAGGGGAAGGGTTTGTGTATTGAGCAAACGAGTGAATTCAGAGCACGAAATAAAAAGGGTTCTAAAACCTTTGTGTCTGGAAAATATATCGTGGAATTCGTAAAGAAGTACTAAAAGTACGAATGCGAAGAGTTTCCCTCAATATTAATAATTTCTGGAGGGAAATACATCTCAAATAATTGTGGCAGCTTCCAAATAAAATATCTGGCTTCGAAACTAGTTTTTGGCACCAAAGTCAAATGACAAATGGTTTCGAAAGCAGGAAGCCGGCTTCGAAGCACATTCCACACTTAAGGATGCAAGAACGCTCAAGTATTTGCTTACCTCAACAGGATTGAAAACCTGTTTTAGAGTTTCTTAGTGAGAATAAATCCTTCGAAGCAAAACTTGAGATCCCTTAAGGATGGAAATTGTTGTTCGAGGTATCAAAACCAACAGTTGGTTTGATAATATACAGAAGAGATTGCTTTTTTGGATTAAAACAGCGCCGCCCTTGAGAGGGGCTTTCATATTTTTGAAAGTATGGACTGTTGTTCGAAGCAAAAATGGTCAATTTAAAACTGATTGATCGTACTAACCATATGACCATATGTTGGATATGATTAAAACAAGCTTTAAGGAGCAAGATTGTTAAATTCGAAGCACTGATTCTAAATGGAAACCAGCAAAAGTTGTCAACTGTATTCCATAAATTGGAAAAGTTCATGTTGGTTTTTCAGTGTTTCATTTGAGATGATTGAATCTAGATTCGAAGGATGAGATTGTTGAGTTCGAAGCCCTAAATTTGCTTGTAAAGACAAACATAGATAAAGTCAAACCATGCCAAACAAAGAGAAAAGTCTTAGCTGTATTGAAACAAAAACAATTACATCAAAAGGCCCTCTTTGGGTACAAATTCGAGTTATAAAAGTAAGGAGTAGAATAAATAACAAGTATCATGGAATTTGGTCCAGCTTTGGTCAATAAATTTCTGTTCCTTTTTTATTCTATCTTTTATTTTCTCCAGGCTTGGCTGCTGAAGTTGATGTGCTCTTACTTGATAAAAGAGTTCTTCAGCCTTTATTTCAAACGCTGTTTCTTTTAACCCTTGTTCTATCTCATCTATATCCAAGTCATCCCAGTGCGCAGAGTCTTTATTCTTAAAGTCATCATATTCTTCGATGAGGTTCTCTGCTTCATACTGGGTATGAACTCGAAGGGATGAAAGTTGGTTCAAAGATTGGGTGGTGGCCACAGAAGTCCGGTGCCAATGAAGAAGCAACGGGAGTTGGTCCAAAAATATTTGGAGTTCTGCTTGGGCGATGGGGTTGAGGTCGTGACCCCAAGTCATAACGTCACAAGCCCATCAAAAGTTCTTGAGAGGAACATCGCCTTCAAGAACATTGAAAGACAAGTGAGAAAAGGCCGCAAGCAGAAGTTGGGCTTGCTTTCACTGAGCTGGAGTAGGGGGAGGTGGAGGCTTATAGGGGGGAAAAAACCTTGTCCGCAGAGAGGGTAAGCCTCAGTCTCTCTATCTAGCGGGGATTTTGAGGAGGACGAGGTATAGAAGCTTCCATTTCGAAAGAATGAGGAAACAGAGGGGCATTAACACAATCAAGCCAGTCAAAAGAGCAAAGCCTCGCCTTCTGGGCTAAGAACAATGGGTTATACCCTTGTGCCTCTTCTAGGCGTCGGGTAGATTGTAATATCTTTGTAGGCATGGAGGATGTGTACCATGCTACAAGCAGATTGTCCTCTAAACTGCGTCGACGGTCGATGGGCACGTAAGGATAAACCACCGAACTCCGAGCATCAGAAGGGAATTCTAAAGGATCAGTGAACTAGACAAAGTGATGATTAACTCGCTCCCTTAACTCTCATGCCTCAAGTTCGGACCAGCTTCTCCAACCAGAAGCCCCAGAGGAAAAAGAAGCCACAGCCTCATCCCATGCAGAAGATTGTGGATTAGAAAAAGAGCTTTCAATGTCTATTTTTGCAAAATTTTGGATTAGAGAATTATGAGTAGCGGGTGCGTAATCCAAAGGTTGATAGTTTACACAGGCTTCCATGACTTGAATATAGGGAGGTGGGTAAAGGTGGCTGATCAATGCATGAAGGTTCTTTCAAGGAAGATCGACATCATCAGATGACTCTTCGTATACTCGATCAATAGAAGAGAGAATTGGTTTGGCCATAAAAGATGTATCAGTCTGTTCAAATACTAAGATAGTGGGGATGTTCAAAGGATTAAAAGAGAATTTAATACAAATGATGAATGACAGTTGTATTTCTGGAAGAATGCAAAGCCTATGCACGTTCTAAGACGTGGATAAAAGACCTTGATTCACTAATATCACCAAGTATTGGGTATATTAGTGCGGGAGGTAATGTTGGCTACATATTTTGTATAAAGCCAATCATAGTTCAACACGTGGCAGGTTGAGGGTAATACAAGAAGACACTTCAAAGCTTTGATCATGATCGTACACGTGGCAGTTAGTATTGGTTTTTGTAAGATCTGCGTAATACAGGATCAACAAAGAGATGCAAAATGATGTGGTTTCAACGGTTACTCACATTTAAATTCAAAATCAAGAGGGAAGCCTAATTGCAGGCATTGGCATAGTGGAGCTAACTATAAGGCAACATGATCAGCGATCATGGAGGAGCGGTTCGACGGTTAGAAGTGCAGTTCGATGGTTATCCTTGAGAAGTATAAATAGCAGAGAAGGCCCTAGAAAAAGCCCCAGACTCAGATCCAAAAAACCAGTTTTATCTACTTTATTTCCTTTCCAGTTTTACATTTCCTGTTCATTGTATTTCTGTACTTTAAAATTCCTGCATTGCATTTCGTTCATAGGAGTAGTTTTAAGTAGATTGTTACTGTAAACCTCTACAAGGCTGAATTGGATCATTGTAAGTCTTTCGTTTTACTTAATGAAATACTGTAATTGTTCTTCATTTAATCATTGTCAGTTTATTCCTCCTAAGCAAAGCCACCAGTAAAAATCCTCTTCATTAAGGCTAGAAAAACTAAAACACGATCGTCTGATAATTGGTTGGCAATTAAATTTCTGTAAGGACTGATTGATCCTTATTGGCACGCTCAAAATTACTGTAATAACCTTTGAAAGCCAAAAAGCCAACAAAGTCACGTGGCATTGAACAAAACCAAGCAAGGCCACGAGGCCATAAAACAAGGTTCGTTTCGTCTTCTTACATTGAAATTTCACTTTGACTAATTTTTTTCCCCTTCTCCACTCTCAAAATATGCATGTGAAACAAACTCTCTATTAGTTTGGATGGAAATTTTTTTTCCCCTTCTTCTTACAATGCTAAATATGTATTCTGGATTGTTTAAATGGTTGAGCTTCTGTGCCTAGAAATTCTTTGCAGGAAGTTGCTGAACCAATGCACATGTATAACATCTTCACATAATTTTAAAATATATACAGTACTTTTAAATTATTCTACATGCTTGGTTGTGGTCCCTTCACCTAAGAATGTTTGCTGACATGATCTTCTCCTTTATTGCTATTATTATACTCGAAAATTAACAAATGAATAAAATTATGAAGCGGAGGTGGAAAATGAAGGCCATTGAGAAATGTGATGTGATGGTGTACACAAAGATCTTCTTAAAGTTTCCATATAAGTTCTAGCCTAGTGGACCCGAAAAAGAATTCTTTATATATGCCCATTAGCGGAGAGGTTACTACACGTTCTGGCAGGTTCGTATAATTTATTCAAAATTACTGTACTTGCATCCTAAAAGTCATCGTGTTTTTTTATTTTATTTCGTACTGGGTGTGTTATGTTATTTCATGGATCGTGAATCATTCTAGTCGTTCTATCACTTGTTCCACATGACAAATAGCATTTTTAAGACTTATGGTCTTCTATTGCAGTTTATTTTGAGTATCTAACGACTTTTGCTTTGTTTGGTTGGGTAGGCCTTCAGATTCACTCTTCAATGATCATAGGCAGCCTGTACCTCAGAGGCCATGACCACCGCCTTTTTCCCCAGAAAACCATTATTTTTTTGACAATTTTGGTCCTTTTGTTGAAACTCAGAGGTATTTGTAACATAAACTGTGCCTTCTGTGTTTGTGGGCCAGTGCTCGTTACTGTGTATTTGTTAATGTTATGGAAAATTTAAACATGTTGCTCGTACTCAAGCAATGCAAGGTTAGAATCCAACAAGAAGTTCCACTGCATCTGGAGGATAAAAACATTGAATGTTTTGTCTATTATGCACCGTGTTCTATGACATTGCTATTGTAGATGTTGGTTGCTTTTGATGAAAATTTGGGACAAAATCATCAATAAATAGGTCCAAAATTATATGATCTGGTATATAGTTGAAACCACAGATCTCTTAATTATAACATGTCTTGTGCTGCACCAGACTCCCATGGGATATCGTGCATTAGGACCCATGCTGGGGTTAAGGTTTGGGATACAAGTACCTTGACAACGTCTACCGGGATGGGCATATATCGAGACTATTAGGTAGGGTCGAAGCCCTTTTAACAGGTGTAGATGTGGGCTCATTTTGGGTTTAGGAGGCCTGCTTTGCCTCATCCCATGTCAATCATATAGTATCTTACTAAATACCTGTCTAAAAATTGTCAAAATTGTGGTTCGTAGAGCACTTTTGGTATTTTTTTGGTTGCTCATTGTTGTAAAATGATAGTAAAGAATATTACCATTGTTGGTTAAATGGTTAAAGTCATGTGCTTTTTATTAAGAGAATTTTCTGTTCATTTCGTACATCCCTTAGTTGGTAGCACATAGTTTATCTTAAGATATGTGTAATTTTCCCCAGATTTATCTAATTATGCTGTTGATTTGTCATACAGAACTGCCATATCTCCCCCTGTATGGTGTAACCAGGCAACGTTGCCAGGCAATTTTAGCAACTCATGGACTTGCCAAGACCAACCTGCAGTCTTGCCTTATGATTCTAGAAAAAAATTTTGCAACCAAGAATGTGGATGCTCAGGCCCCAAAAAGAACCAGGTCCCCACCTATACCATCTGCAGATGAAGTTTCCCAAGAATATTCTTATCTTAGTCGAAATGACAAAATTCAAGCTGTGCTTGAGGCATGTGCCTGTCCACGGCTTGTGGAGCTTCTGCTGTATGTTCCTATTTGCTTCATACTTCTTCATTATGACATTGATTTTAAATTTGGTATGTCTTTTAGTTTTCTAGAATTAGTTCTATAGAAAAAATTCTCATTTTTTGCAAATTAGTGGAATATTTTTTTCTTTTCTCAGGGCTAAATTTCATTATGTGTTATTCTCTTTATAGTGGTCAGATTTTTGAAAGTAGTACTAACTAACTAACTAAATTTTGTTTTTCACAAATCATCCATCTCCTACAGTTCTTATACTCACACTTAGGGCAGTGGGAAACATTGTTAATGGTGATGATGCCCAAACTCAGGTATTAATGATTTCTACTTCTGTACTGTTAGTTCTTACCATAGTATCAGTTTAATGCAATATTTTCCATTCTTCATATTCATTCTCTGCATTTCTGTACTAATACCAACATCAAAGATGATATTCTTGTAATCAATACAATTACCAGATTTGTTAATATATTACAACTTATTGTAGTAGATTTGTTTTGGCATTCTGGTAGTGAAAAAGATAGATGGAAAAGGACTTCCTAGAGAAGGCTTCTGATTCTTTTTTTTTTTTTTTGATCAACAACAAAAAAATTTATTGATAAATCAAAAAAGGAACAAGGAGAAGGCTTCTAGCCTGGATAAGAATAGAAAATTTGGTTTTATACTCTACATGTACATGACCCAGCCCTGTGTTTTTGTTTTTTGAACTTCTAGGTAAGTCATTCTTTATCAAAGTGAAAATAATGTAAGATTTTTACTTTGCTCCTTGTACTAGAAGAGCTGAATGCTGAGATCATTTAAAAAAAAATAAATTTAGCACGTAAAACTGCATTTTAGAGGAATGAGAGTGCTGAGAAAGATTGAAATTCTCACTCTCTCTCTCATTTGTTTGACATTGACAAACTTTATATACTTTTCCCACACATGAGAAATTAATTCTTTTAATTTGTTTCGGTTTGTGATTGACAAACATGTCCTCCCTTGTCTCTATCAACTTCTCACACAAAATCACAAAAAAAGCATCAAGAAATAAGCTTGCCCGACAATATCAAATATCACTGCTGGGAATAGAAGTCAAATTCAGGTATATGGATTCTCTCGCATATCCTCAAAAGATCCTTATGTGTCATCAACTATGATTATGTGACACAACATGGCACAAATCTCTCTTTGCTTGCATGTATTGTGTTCGTCGACCATGACTGACTGGGTTCATTGGTGGAAATGAGGGCCTTTATCCTCATTTTATTCATGAGTGATAGGACATTTTTTTTAATCTTTTCCAACTAACATCTATCTAATCTGAAATCATTTGTTACTGAAGATATATATTTGAGTTAGAAATTTGGGCACAGCTGGTTTATCATTAGAAGAGAGGTACATGCACTCATCATAGCTGTTTCCATATGGAACCACTGTTGTTCTGTTTTGTAAATGGCATCTGGGTTGTGTTCTGGCTGTTTATTTTGATTTCCATAATTTCTTTGCAATGTTTGCTCTGCTTGAGGGTTTATATCTAAAGAAAGATCTAGAAATTGGGTACTCTGTGTTCTAATCTATCTATTCCCCCTCATAATGTGTATTGATTAGGTGCAAGCTTGTATTTGAGGAACATATATCTCCATGGTAACAAATTAGAATTCAACCGGTACCTTATATAGTGGTGAACACCAGCATTGTAGATTTTGACTTTACTAGCATTCTATTTGGATTGTATTTTTTTCATAAAAGAATTTTTTCCAAGTTTTTAGTTGTAATAACTTTCACATATGGCTCCAATTTTGAAACTCAAATGGAATGCTTGATTAAACTACAATGCTATGCTGTCTGAATTCTTGTCATTGTTATTCTTAGAGTGCTTAACGTTACACTTTTATGGTTTTTTTTTTTTTTTTTTGGGACGGTTTGGTGAAGTGGGTTCAAAAATCATGTTAGTGTTTTTCTTTGTTTTTTTGCGACGGCAAAATAGCGGTCGCTATAAGTAGTCTAGGTGGTCGCGAATAATTTGCGATTGTTGCTTTGCCGTCGCAAAAAGTACTTGCCACCCCTATATTCGCGACCCCTATTTGTCGTCGCAAAAGGTTTGTTGGGACTGTTTTTTATTATTTGTGACGGTTTATAGCGGTCGCAAAAAGTATTTTTTTTAGTAATAGGGCTAGCATATGTCTCAGGTACAAGGATATTCATTGTTCAAAGTTTCACGACTTCAATACGATTCTAATTTAATGCCAAACACAGGTGTCATTTGTTTTTTTCCACATTACATAAAAAACTAAAGGATAAACTACAATTTTAGTTTGTAAAATATAGATTCATTCACTACTAGAAAAATAGCTTTTTGCGTCTATTTTTTTGCGACTGATTGTTTGACCGTCCCAAAAAAAATTTATTTGCAACGCCGAAGCAAATTAGGAATGGCGAAACATATAACTTTTTTACATAAAAATCTCGTTTTACTCGTCATGTGCCCAATTTATTTATTTATTTTTATTTTCCTTTTTACTTAAACCCCAAATTGTGTAAAAACTTGCCCTAGACTCTCATTTACCGAATCTGATTTCGCTTGATCGTGTCTGAAGAAGAGAATCTGATTCCCTCTCTCGATTTCGCTCTCTGTTTCTCGCTCTATAGATCTCCATGGTCATTCAACGGTATGAACTCTCTCTCTCTCTCTCTCTCTCTCTCTCTCTTTCGTCTCAGTGAGTCTCTTTGAATCATTCGTTCATATTTCAACTTCTTCGCCTCTCTACATCGATCACTTGTTTCTTATCATCTGAACTCACTGTAATTCGATCACTGCTTCGTCAATCTGACTCTCTCTCTCTCTCTAGTCACATGCACATGTAACTCAGCTCACCTTTAAACGAGCTTTGGTTCGAACCAATCATTTCTCATCTGCTACAGGTACAAGTTGAACCATTCAATTCTTAATTGTTATCGCTTCACCCTCCAATTCTCACCTCTCTCTCTCTCTATATATATATTGCATTGCTTTGAACCCTACTTTTAGTTTTGAATTCGAATTATTATTATTATTATCTTTGTCATGTTTGGTTTGTAAGTGTTTTGTGTTGCAATAGAATTGCATTGGTGGTGTTTGTTGATATTTAATAATGTACAGTTGTCCTAAAAAGTGATATTTAATTGTGTACTCATTTATTTGAAGATATATATATATATATATATAACCTTCTTCTCATAAATTTTGATTTCTTTAGTTGTTCTATTTTCGATATGAAATTGAATTTGTTTCATGATAGCAAAAGTATGTATGAATTGGTTGTATATGCTCCAATTTATTATTTGATTGATGCAAAATTGAAAAATGGAGGGGAGAGAGTTTCAGCATGGAGAATTTCAGCATTTATTAAGTGCTGGAGGGGAGAGAGTTTTGAATTTTTTAAATTGGCTGGCAGAACAGGGAAATTTGTCCTGAATCATAATTTTGCTTAGATTAATGATCAATTGAGTTTGGATAGTTGTATGTATATATATGTATAATGGTATAGTAATTTGTCTTACCTTTATAGCTTTTTATTTGAGTTTGTATTAGCAAAGTTGTGTTTTGAGGCAATTTACAGATATATTACTTAGATTAGCTACTGGAATATGTGCTTTGAGTTTATGAATAAGCTGGGTTTCGTTTAGTTTCTCCAATCTAGCTTTTAGTTTTTCGATTTTTTTTCAATTTGAAAACTAAACCAGAGAAGATTTTGAAGTTTTAGATGATAATCATGTTACTCCTTGATTTTTGGACGGTTAAAATTGCAAATTGTTGAAGAATTTCATAGTGTTAGTATTAACTTGATTGGTTTTGTGATTAATTTTTTCTGTATTTTTGCTTGAAGATGCCGAGCATGAGTTTTGGATGATAAAGATGTTACTCCTTGAGAGGAGAAACATCTCATATCTAGGGAGTATGGCCTGCAACTTAACTCCAAGTAGTTGAACCAATATTCACAAGTGTGTGCCTGCATTATTTAGTTTTTATGTCTTCAGGAATGGATGCTTTCGTTGGCTTATATCTGGTGCGATTATAATGTGGTATGAACATTGAAATGCTCGCTTCCTGTGTATGATAAGCTCCCGTTGATACCCCCAACATGCATGTTTATAATTTTAGGCATTTCGCTTTGAAGTCTATTATAATTTCAGGAACTTGTAGTTTCAGGCATTTCTTAGGTTTCTATGGATCCTCCAACATGTCCCCCTTCTCTAATTTTAAGTTGAGGATATTACTCAATTTCATATTGTCATATATATAATTTCATTAGCAGCCCCTTCATTTATTGATGAGATCACACAATATGTGACACAAGCCGTTAAGTCTAGGTTCACTACAACAATTGAGAATCTGTGTTCTTAGAGTCACAGGGTGTCGCTGGGAGTATGAGCTTGAGAGAGGTGTAATGCTTACAAATTGATGAATCTTACGTTTTATCAATTTGTATATATACATATGGAAATTATTAACACATTATACTAGCATATATATATTTTTTTGATAAGTAATTAATTTTATTAGAAAAACATCAAGATGATGCAAAGAATACAAAGATCGTAGAACTCCTAACCAACAATTTTATCCACAAAATCTATGAAAACAAATATATCCGGCTCGGCTTGTGACTCCAACCAAGTGCATAAAGTAAACAACAAGCGATTCTGAAGCCAAGACACCGAATGAGTGATGTCGAGAAATGTTCGCCGATTCCTTTCCAACCAAACCATCCACATCAAACAAAAAGGCACAACGGACCAAATCCGCCGACGTCGATGACCAACACGAGCTCCTCGCCAACTCTATAACATCTCCAACACCCCCTTGGGCTGCACCCAAACAACCCCAAACAAAGAGCATACCAACCCCCATAGACGAGCTGCCACATCACAATGAAGAAATAAATGATCCACCGACTCTGCATCCCTACAACACATACAGCAGCGATTCACTAAGACATGACCTCTACGGACCAAATTATCAATAGTGAGATTCCGGCCCAAAGCAGCTGTCCACAAAAAGAACACTACCTTAGAAGGAATGCTCGGAACCCAAATGCTTCGCAAAGGGAACAACGAAGTTGCCCCCCCCACCAGACTCCGATAAAAGGATGACACCGTAAAAAGGCCTTTTGAACCCAACACTGACCACACCACCCTATCCTTCCCTCGCCCAACGGGTCCCAAACCATATAAAAACCCCAACATCTCCTCCAATTGAGTAGCCTCCCAATCTTGAACTGCCTGCCGCAGGCGGACGTCCCAGACTACCACCTCTCCATTCCCCAAACAATTTGCAACAGTCACCTCAGGATCTGCCGCAATGCCAAAAATCAAAGGGAATCGATCTTCCAACAACACCTCCTCGCACCATTTATCCCTCCAAAACCGAACCCTCTCCCCATTTCCTACTTGGAAATGCACTCGATTCCAAAACTCATCCCTCCCAAACCAAATCCCTCTCCACAAACCCCGCCCATGAAATCTTGTACTTGTTCCCGTCCTCCAATCCCCGCTATCCACCCCATACTTGGCAACAATCACCCTTCGCCAAAACCGGTCTCGCTCCCACGCAAAACGCCAAAACCATTTACCCAATAAGGCTCGATTAAAAGTAACCAAACTCCGGACCCCAAACCACCCCCAGCTTTTGGAGAACAAATCTAATCCCATCCCACCAAATGATAACGGAAAACCGCCGCTTCACTCCCCCACAGAAAATCTCTCTGAAGCTTTTTCAAACGTCGAGCCACTGAAATCGGAATTATCAGTATAGACATAAAGTAAGTCGGAATACTACTCAGCACACTCTGAATCAAAGTTAAACGTCCCCCTTTTGACAAATATTGCTTCTTCCAACCTGCCAGACGCCGCTGCACTCGCTCCACCACACCATTTCACACCCCTTGCGACCTAAAAGTAGCACCCAACGGCTAGTCTAAATAAGAAACTAGCAAAGCTGACACCTTGCACCCCAAATAGTTGCTAACATGGGGACTCGATCAACCTCCCCTACTGGGATTAACTCAGACTTACTCAAATTCACTCTCAGACCCAAGACCGTCTCAAAACACAGCAAAACATACCGCAAATAGCCCAACTGCTCAACACTCGGCTCGCAAAAGACCAAAGCATCATCTGCATACAAAAGATGCGAAACACTCACCACGCCTCTGCCCAAAGATCCGACCGAAAAACCCTCCAACAAGCCTTCATCTACAGCCCGCCCCAACAATCTAGTAAAAGCCTCTATCACCGAGAGGAACAACAATGGCGACAAGGGATCTCCCTGTCTAAGGCCACGAGAAGTAGAAAAGAATCCCGCCGGTGTACCATTCACCAATACAGATAGGTGGACCGTAGAAACACAGAATTTCATCCACTGACACCATTTCTCCCCAAAACCCATCCACCTCATAACGTAGAAAAGAAACTCCCAATTAACACTATCATAGGCCTTTTCAATATCCAACTTACAGATCACCCCGGGACGCCCCTGCCGAAGCCTCGAGTCAACACATTCATTAGCTACTAATACTGCATCCAGAATCTGACGACCCCCGATGAATGCATTTTGAGCTTCAGACACCACTATTGGCAAAACACCACGCAGCCTATTGGCCAAAACTTTAGCTAAGAGCTTATACATGCTCCCAAGTAAACTAATAGGCCTAAAATTCCGAATATCCTCAGCCCCTCCTTTTTTTGGAATCAAAGCCAAAAAAGTCGCGTTTAGACTCTTCTCAAACCGTCCCGAACTAGAGAAATCCTGAAAGACGGCCATCACATCTTGCCTAATAACCTGCCAACAGTGCTGGAAGAAGGCCATCGTGAACCCATCTGGACCTGGAGCCTTGTCCCCACTCATAGTCTTCAGAGCCCCCATAACCTCCTCTTCAGAGAAATCCATCTCTAGAGCCTCCCTATCCCCTCCAGCAATAGCGTCAAAAAGCACCCCATCCAAACCTGGCCTCCACTGTCCTTCCTGCCGACTAAACATAGTCTGATAGAAGCCCACTATACCCTCTCTAATATCTGTAAATGTGGTCAAGTCTGTCCCAGCTATCCGCAATCTAACAATCTGGTTCACCCGGCGATGGCAATTCGCCATTCGATGAAAGAATTTTATGTTTCGGTCCCCCTCCTTCAACCATAAACATCTAGATTTCTGTCGGAAGCACACCTCCTCCATACGAGCTAGACGAACAAAATCTTGCCTAGCTGCCTCCCTCTTAGCAAGATCTGCCTCCCTCAACCCCCCATTCATCTCTAGCTCATCAAACAACTGCAAAATCCCTAGCACTTCCGCTTTCTGCGTCTCTAGCCGACCAAACGACTCTTTGTTCCATTGTTTCAAGTTACCCTTTAGTAGCTTCAGTTTTTGAGCCAGCCTACCACTCGGTGAGCCAAACACCACGTAGCTCTACCACCACTTCTGGACCATGTCAATGAAACCGGCAGATTGTAACCACATGTTCTCAAAACGGAATGGCGTAGGCCCACCACGAAAACCTCCACAATCCAACAGAAGAGGCCAATGATCTGAAACTGGATGAGGCAAACGAAGCTGTATAACCCTCGCAAAATGTTCCTCCCAATTTTCGCTGACCAAAAATCTATCAATCCGAGACATCTGCCGCCCAGTAGACCAAGTAAAGCACCCCCCATGAAGCGGAAAATCCATCAGTTGACAATTATCAATAAATGTACAAAAGGCCCGCATCGCACCGTTCACCCGACTATTCCCCACCTTCTCAAGCGGCCTTCTGACCACATTAAAATCACCCCACACACCATGGTTCGGACACCGGAACGCAACCATATCCAGCTCTAATAAGAACTCAGCCCGTTCTACATGACAAACCAGCCCATATACTCTTGTAAACACCCACTGAAAATTATCTGCCACACACCTAAACAAGCAAGAAACCGAGAAACCCCCTATCACCTGTCCCTCCCTCACTACGATCCTGTTGTCCCAACAGAGTAGAATCCCTCCTGACTGCACTAACCCACTGCAGGCACATAAATCCATTCCATAAAACGACCACCCCAAAGTTGTCACACCACTGCATCCTCCATTATTTCCATTTTTGTTTCTTGTAAACATACCACATCCGCTCTAGCATTTCGCACCACTGCCCTGACAACCATCCTTTTATCCCTATCGTTCAACCCTCGCACATTCCATGACAATTTTTAATCTCATTTCAACAAAAGGGCCCCCCCCGTGGCTTACGAACCTTTTGCCCTGCCATCCTGTCGACATGGTCATAATTAATTGAACAATGCAGATTTTTTAAGCTCACGAGCCCCTTTCCGACCTGCTATTGACGACATCTTTCCAGAACTAGAACTCCCTGGCCTTCGTGAAGCCTCTACCGCTAAAAATAATCTCATTGCCTCTGCCTCATGTCCTTCAAAAGACACTCCTAACAAGCAGCTTACCTCACTAATCCTTTCCAGGACCCATTCAGACACAGCAGAGTCAGAAGGAATCGCAGTCTCACCAAACCCAGCATAATGGCCTGAAGCTGAATTTGAACTCTGTTGCCACAGCCTTTCGTCACTCCCCATAGCCAAAGGCTGAACCACCAGGGCTAGATCGTGCCCGACAGCATCCAAAGTCTCTATTCGATCTCTCTACGACATCGCAGCTGTCTGCGGCTTTTCCGTAAGTCGACACGACTTCCCAGCTATCTGCATCTTTTCCGTAAGTTGACCCCCAACGTCGTGAGACCGTGGCAGCAAAGGCCCCACCTCGAGACGATTGACCTCGTCCACCTGCATCGCCCCCTGCCAAGGTTCGAAATCCTCACCACCATCAGCCAAGCAGTCCGACGTTGATGGGTCACCCGTCGTTACAGTCGGAACTATCGCAGAGGTCGAAACCTGATCCACTTGAGGAAGATCCAAACCCTGATAAAGGCTATCAAAAATATGGGCCACTGGAGTCATGTATCCAGCAGATTGGACCCTGCTCTACCCAGATGGACTCTTCCCTTTATTGCCCAAGTGCTCATTCAATTGAAAATGGCCCACTTTCCCCACATTGAGCCCAAATCCACTGCCACTCCCAGAGCCCACATGCACTGAAGGGTTTCTAGTTGGCCCAAGTCCATTAAATGGACCCAGACCCAGTCCCTCCAAGCTGCCATTTTGATCACAGGTGGACCGAAATTGTGGCCCAACACACTGATTACCTCCCCATAAACCTTCGGCCCAAGAGAGACCCAGCCCCCTGACCTCGCTGCTTAGGTAACCATATCTGAGATGATCTGCTTCTATCTCTATTATTCGGCAAATCTGGCCTCCGCCATTCTCGCCCAAAATCACGATGGCCAAATCGCCCTAAATCTCGCAATTTGAATTTCAGTCGTGGTTGAGCACGATTTTCCGACAAACTCCACCGTTCCATGGCTGGACTCACCTCTAACCAGACTGGAAGGACGTACCGCCATTGGCCCCATCGCACATGAATCCGCGACGGAACTCCATGCCCCGAGCCCCGAACCCCGAACCTTCAAACGAATACAACCCAGCGACTCCATCGTCGTCGTCGCCACATCGGTGGCCAGAAAACCCCCACACCGATCCCCAATTGCTTGAAACACTTGCTCCCCTCGAAGGTGAATCGGAAGTCCCAACACCTGTACCTAAACACTCTGTAGAGGCAAGGGATGATCCTGAGTACACAGTACCTCCGGCGACCACCATTCAAGCTATAGGGGTCGGCCATCAACCACCCGTGCATTATTCAGAATTCGAGTGGTGCCAGATGGTGAATTGTTTGTATTCAGAGAAAATGTATATATTAGGAGGCAAGTGTCAATGCCTTTTGCATATTTGTTGTAGGATTGCACTGGCTATATACCATTGACTACCCAAATAATGTGTAATAGAAAGGGTACATATGTGATATGCTGAATGATAATTGGATTTGGATGGACCTCTATGATACAATAAGACAATGTAACAAGAAGCCAAAAAACTTTTTGAGTCCAATAAATTCAATCTTAAATGTTCTTTCAAATGGTTTGTCTTTACAGCTTTTGTATTGATTGAAATTGTTTCTATATCAAGTCTTGATGGTTATATGGGTTTGTTTTTATGGTTGTCTTCGTGTTTGGTGCCTTTTGTAATCAATCTGGCAATTAAATATGTTAACATGTGCAAGGTAGTTAATTTATGCTTAACTTGATCAAAATCCCCCTAGTTTTGTAGGCTTAAAAAATAAAAATAAATAAAAATAATAAAAAAAAAAGTTGTGTACTCAAAACAAAATTTTGTTAGGTTGGCTGAAGACAAATATTGATGGTAGGTAGTTTAATGCATACATGTATGTCAATGCAATCTGTTTTGTTTTGCGTTGTGTTGATGTTTCAGGTGAAGTATTCGAATGAACCGGACAATCCCACCAAGTGAAGTTCTCTAAACTTTGTCGATGCTGAGTTTCACAAGAATTGGCCTTTTTTTTATTTCGTTTTAATTTTCTTGAATGTTTTCCTCCATTTTCTCAGCTTCCAAACGGTGCAATTGTGCTTGCTAAATCATGGGTTTTATCTGATTTTGTGTGTGTGTGTGTGTTTTCTGGTGCCTTTTTTATTTCAGCGTGCAAAGCTAGGGGCTCCGATCTCCGAGTTCATTTCAAGGTATGTTGATGAGTTCGATCATATGGATTTGCCATTGTGTCTGTAGTGTTGCGTGTGCTATTATTCAATCTTGAATCATATATTGTAGTGTTGTATCAGATTGTTCCTGAATTGATGGTGTTGTGATAAATTGATGTAAGAATGTTGAATTAATGGTATTGGCAGGTTGGTCTGTTTATGGTCATGTGCGATTCGTAGGACAGGATTAGCTTTTGTGTTTCTTTCTTACTCAGCCTGATGAAAAAAAAAAAAAAAACAGGGCTCCTCACCTTTTGTGGATCAGTCTCTCGTAAACTGGAGGGAAATTGTTGCATTGTGATTTGGTGAACCTATGTAAGTACGTTAGTGGCAGATGGTTCAGTAAATAATGGCACATTTTAACTGCTCTCCAAATCCAAATTATAGTTTTTTTCATTGAAATCTTTTGTGATCTGTTGTTGGCTTTGTTTAGTTCACCTTTTCAACTCGAATACAAACAAATGACATGCGTTTTTCATAAATACTATGCAACGTACAAGGCCGAGAATTGAGGATGAAGCAATTGTGCAGGGGATTTTATTTTTGTTAAAAATGTCTCTGTTAACCTTTCACACTTGAGCTAGACAGAGTTCGCTTATGGGTTTTTCCAGTAAGAAACCAAATAAAATCAAAATTGAAGTCGCTGACCATCTAACACATACTGATGATGCATTCCAATAGATATTGTAACCATTTTGATGTATACGATCGTTTTTTGATTATTGTAAGACTAAATAATATTAAAGGCACCTTAGTATAGGTTCTGATTGTTTTTTATTGCATTAATTACTGTAGATTATGAAGTGGAATGAGCAGTGGGGGAATGGGATTTTCGCAGGGCCTCTTTAATTGAACATCTTCATTTGGCATGGAATTTTTCAAATAATATTTTATGTTTTGTTTGAAGCTAGTTATTTGGTTTTATTTGAAGCTTAATGGATTAATAAGGCTCCCGAGACACTCTTCTTGAACATTGACACTTGATTATTGTTTGTGAGCAAGTTACTTAAGAGCTCGGAAGGGGCATGGTGTGTTTTTTATTTTATTGAACAAATTACAAACATCTCCCTCGAGGTTTGGTGAAAATATAGATTTTCCCCTGAGGTTTGAGAAATTACATCCCGCTCCCAGAGGTTTATATTTTTATAACAAATTGTCCCCTGAAGTTTTTATTTTCACACAGGTTCCCCTCTAATTTGTTATGCAAATTTGACCATCAAGGGGCAATTTGTAATTTCTCAAACCTTAGGGGGGGAATCTGTATTTTCAACAAATCTCGAGGGGGATATTTGTAATTTGTCCTATTTTATTTTATTTTTTTTCATTTTTAGTGTTTTTTATATTGCCAAGTCCCATTTCACCGCTTGAGTGAATGTTACATTGTTATGTTTCTTGTTGATGCGTAATGGATATTGTTTTGGCCATAGCTATTCCCAAAGTGCTTAATGTTACATTTTTATTTTTTTTTTATATATATATTTTTTTGCGACGGTAACAAGATGGTCGCTACTACATTGTGGGCATCTTTTGAACTTTTTGGGACGGTAAAACATTGGTCGCCATAAGTAGGTTGGGTGATCACAAATAGTTTGCGACTGTTGTTTTGGGGTTGCAAAAAGTATTTGCCACTCCTACATTTGCGACCCTCATTTGCTATCGCATAGGCCGTCGCAAAAGATCTTTTGCGATTGTATTTTTATTGTTTGCGACGGCTTGTAGCGGTCGCAAAAACTACTACTTTTAGTAATGTTGTTATATTGGCCCCTTAATTTTTAATTGTCAATCAACTAGGCCTAACCTAATTAACCACTATGACTTTTTTAAGAGCTTAGACCCTAGGGAAGGTTATTCAACTCTTCTTAGAGAGTTGAATTTGCAAAAAGTGGGTAGGCTAACTTTTAAAGGTGCTAATTTAACAACTAATAACTGATTTTAGTAGATCAAAAAAAAATTAATTTTGTCATTTTGCTATTCCAAATTGTCAATTTGAGTCAAATTAATATAATCTCAGAACGGATGTTTAAATCGTTAAGAAAAAATAATTATAAATGTTACTATGGTCCCAAAGATGTATACTTTGTGTCGTATTGGTCTCTAAAGTATCAATTTTATCAATTTCATATTGTAATGTGATGTTTCATTTTCTTCATTAATGTTTCATGACCAAATTGACAAAATTAAAAACTTTGAGGACCAAAGTGATACGAGTGACAAGAAACACTTACTTTAAAGAACATGTGTGTATTTTATTACGATTCCGTTAACTAAAGAAGAAGATTTGGAGTTGGAGGAGTGACTTAAGCATCTCAACAAGCTAGCAGTCAGGACTATACAAGTATTTATTCTCAACTATTATTAGAAACATTTAGACTGCGTTTGGATCACTAATTTAGATAGAGAAATGAAATATTTAGGTAAAGTATAATTATATTTGATTCAGTTGTCACTCATGTTTTCTATTTTCCTTTTCAAATTCATATATAAATTTAAAATCTAAAAACAGTCTTAGTTCAATTTTGCTATGTTTGTTTCATGGGAGTGAATTATATTTGATTAATAGACTCGTCATAATTGATGTTGATATTATCAATTGCATATATTATCCCAATTTGAAATATTCATGGATTGGGAAGTTAAATCTTATCATATACCATGTTTGTCTGGAATCACACTAGACATACATACGTAGTGTAATGACCATAATGGGAGAATATTTTGGTGTTTTTACTAATGCAGACCCTTTTTAATCTCTCATTTGGTATCTCATCACCTAATGGAGCTCAATAATCAATCATATCCCATACTTAATGTCATATTTTGTGTCTACCTCTTATGGAACTTAATAATCACCATATAAAGGATACATAGGGACAATCCCAAACAAACACAATCTCTATGTACGGCATGGGACCCTTTTGTCTCTAATGTGGAATGAATTAAATTTATACCAAATTAACAATAAAATATTAAACTAATTTTTTGAATGAAAAAGTTATTTATTGGGTTAAAAAAAATCTATCTCTTCAATTTTAAATCGGAACATAAAGTTGTTGACATCAACAAACTATTGTCTCAAATACAATAAATAAAAATTTAAGTTGGGCCGGTTTCATAGGATGTCCTGGGATTAGTTTTGAGGACATCCAATTCCAATATTATCCAGTTAAATTTTCTATGAAAATCAAATGGCAGAGATTAATAGGCATCTTAGGCCTAATATCATGGATGTCTAGAATTGCAACCATTTAATTTGACGTTCTGAACTTGAGAATACAGAATATGGTATTATTATTTTTGCACAAAATTGTGAACAACCTTTCATGAATTAAACAATTGTATATAAAAATTAACAGAAAGATTGTAACATTTACAGAATAATTATGGAGATATTTATGATTGCGTGGATTTCTATAAACAAACTGCATTTGATCATCCTTTACTGAAGAACCACACTTTTCATTTTCAAGTTTGTCTCCATACATCCTCTTATCTCCAACACATTATTGAAGGCTGCTTAATTATTTATTCAACACTCCATAAGAACAAAATAAATTACAGAACACTGTAGTTCGCACATTAGGTGTTGGGATTATTGCACATCCTAAATTCAAATGGAAGCACATCCATATGCACACACTTAAGAGGAAAAATCACAAAGATTTGCATACAAAAGAGAAATATACTATGAATCATAGCAAGTACAACAATAAGACCAAAAACCACTAAAATCTGACACCAATACCCATTTCCCTACTTAAGATTAACTGATTCTAGAAGCTACACGTGCTTACTTACTCACTATCGTTGTCCAAGGAATTTTTTCATATCCCCTACATCTTTACAGACCCTCTCAATCTCACACCTCTACAATACTTCTTTTTATTAGCAAAGGGAATAATTGTATTGATCAAATCCAATAGATAAAATATAATTTTGGGACAAGAATCAATAAAAGAGAGGAGAGGGTAGAGAAGATTCATATTTATTGGCAAACCATAGAAATGTTAGTCCCATACAATTAGTAAAACCCTACACATTGAATTACTAGTGAACTCTTGATTTCACAACCTAACCCAAAATATAGTATGGATCTTACAAAATTTGATACACACACCCAACACTAATAACTGCATGGGGCTCATAGAAAACAAGACATGGACGTACCCAACAGTAAAATCCAACTCGTGTGAATTTCTGTAATCCATTATGTGATCAATTTATGTGCAAGTCTCCTTTACCTTTTTCGAATTGAGTTGAATTGCAGATGAAGCCCACTTCATTACCCAATAGATCAAGAGATCAAGTTTCCTCAAAAGATAGCAAACCTCTACATATAGGACTAAAGGGCGGAGGTTGCTTGATTGGAATAGTTCCAATTAGAAGAACTACTAAAGAAGATCTCACTAGAGAGAAACTTGCTTAAAAAATAATGACTCCTGCAGATGACACCGGTGGTGTTGATGTAAGTTATCCTAGTCAATCAAGATTATATAGCTTCACAATACTAGTTTTGCACTATTGCTTGTTTTCTATATTTGGTTTTATTTGTTTCTATGAATCACCTTTTTGAATGAGTTGCCAACGCACACATAAAACACTCTTAACCACATTTTTTGATCCTACAAATTGATTTTAGTCCTCATTTTTTTAAGCTATGTTTAGCCTCATCTTGTTGAAAGTTTTAGGCAAACTTTTGATAATAAATTTACTTGTAGACGTGATTGTTTACATCGCTTGAATCAGCACAACCAAAAACACTAAATATTAAATCTTATAGTTAGGGCACAATGCGTTTTTTGAATGAAAAGAGGGGGAAAAAATCAACAAAAAAAGTAAGATCATACATATGTGTGTGTGTGTGTGTGTGTGTGTGTGTGTTGGGTTTGGTTTCCCTCGTATGTGGAGGATGGCCTAAATATTTGGTAAAGCCCATATGAGTCTCAAGCCCACATGGAGAGATGAAAAATATTTGGGACCCCCTTTAGGGATGATCCCCACACCCCCAAAGTCATCCTAGCCCACCATGTATGTGTGGGGTCCGCATCATGAGTAGTCCAGATTTGTGGGGGTCATGTGGGGGTTTTGTAGGGGTAGGGGTCTCAATCACCACTCTAGAGAGATTATGGTAGCGTTTGGTTTACTTTTCAAAACTCAACTCTATTTTTAAATCATGATTAGAATGCAACTTGTTAACCAAACATATTTTTAAAATACAACTCAAAATTACTTTCAAAACTCCTCTTTTTATTTTTATTTTTATTATTAATCTATCACTTTTTCTCTCTCATTTCTCCTCTCTCCTCTCACATTCTCTCATATTCTATACATCAATCAATCAATCAAAAAAAAAAAAAAAAAAAAAAATTACAAATCATTTCAAAACTCAAACCTAAACAAATTTTCTTTTTTCAAATCATGATTCAAAAACTCAAAACTCAAAACATAACTCTACACTCAAATTATAATTCTAAAATTAAACCAAACGGATAATGTTTTTTGTTTGGTTTTTGGCCCGTGTGTGATGAGACAAAAACCCTCTCTACTACCCTTGAGAGAGAGTAGAGTACAACCACCAAACAAAGAGGAAAAAGGGGGCCAAGCAATTTTTTGATAAACTCTATCCAGTTTTGATCAAGCAGTTCAATCGGCAAGCATTTGTGGTCCGATTGAGCTGAAATTTGGTAGGCGAGTTCACACTCAAGGCTCTAAGATTTGAACGGTGGAGATCAGATTTGGAGCATTCTGACTTTGGTTTTCTAGCTCATGAACAGTACCTTGTTTTTGTGAGATCTTTCCTAAACTTTGTAACTAGTTTTTTGGTTGCGAGAAAAACTTATTTGTAGTTGTTCTTGATTGTTTGCCTCTAGTTCTAACCAGAGAGAACTCTTGTACACCCATTATTTTTTGATAGTGGAGATATTTGATAGACTACAGTCCCGTGATTTTTTCCTTCTCACAGTGGGAAGGTTTTCCATGTAAAAATTGCTCTTGCCTTTTATATATATATTGTGCTCTATTCAAATTGTTTCCTAATAGATTCACACAAAGAGGGAGAAAAATTACTTCTGCTATTTTGTGCTAAATTGGGGTATTTTGAATTGGCCTTTGGTTTCCCTCCCAACAATATGGATATGTACAGATTCTCACGGCGGAAAAGGTTAAAGGGAAAATATAAAAGTAACACATGTTTTGGACTTTTATTACCTAGTATGCCATAGTTGAGACAATAGATGGTCCAAACAAACACAGTGGAGCGTCAGCGGTGCTTACTGTACACCAACCAGATGTCGTGGGTAAACAATATAGTGCAGGGCGAATGATGATTCAAAATGGGCCTGATAGCTTACAAGTCGGGTGGAGGGTAAGTTGCTCTTCTTGCTTCTTGTAAATGTAACTTCTTACTTCTTTTACAAACAATTTTCAGAATTAAAAACTAGCTTCACATAGACAAA